GTCCTATCAGATCCATTCTGCTAACGACCCCCTACCAAATAAGGAAGCGGTGGGTGAGAGTGCATACTCATTCAACCGCCATTTTATAGGCAGTTTCCTTATAACACCCCTTATAGTCCGGCTTCGTGAATGAGGCATACTAGCGATCCGACTGACTTAATCTTATACATATAGTAATTAACATTTAATATATTATATAAGGTGTATTTTAAAACTTTTCAAAATACAAGGTTTACATTAAATAAACCAATTATATTTTTAATATTTATCTTCTAATTAATCAAATAATTAAATATAATTAAAACATAATGATAATTCGCAAATTTAAGATAAGGATATCTGATTAGAAAAGATACTTATTTAGTTTTATACAATTAAAACATATCTAAAGTAATTACCCTAATCAATTTATGAATTAAGCCAAAAAAATGATTTTAGCTGATCTGAGGGTCCACCACGTCGTGGTAAACAATTACCACATCATGGTCGAACCGAAAGGAAAGCGAATCCGCAGATCACCACGTCGTGGTGGAGTGATAGAATGACGATTCTCTCTTTCCTCCTTCGGTTTTTGTTCAAGTTCAAGTAATGTACAATCGATTGTTAGAAAACCTTATGCTCTGATACCACTTATGGGTTTTACATGTATTAACACGGATAAATCCTTAACACTTAAGGGTACATGCAACCTAAAGATCTAAGTCATAACACTATTGATGTAACATTCTATTGAACAAAAAGAACACTCTAACCCTAGGTAATTTTGAAAATTGAAGAAGGAACAACATACCTTTTGCTTGTTGTAGTAAACAATCAAGAATTCTTTCTTTAATAACTTGGAAGCTAGCAACCCAAATGTCTTGCCTCTGATGGTTCACATCCAACACCAGCAACAAAAAGCTTTTGAGAGAAGAGAGGGGATGTCAAATTTTCGGCCTAGGGATCTTGAGGATCAAGTGGGCAAAAATTGTAGCCTAAGGGGTCCTTTTATAATGCTACCTGGAAACCCTAGATAACCCTAATTTGAATAAAATAATATTAATCCAAATTGGTAATTATCCAACTTCCTATTTATCAGCAAGGAATATTCCAGATGCCCTGGAATACCCTAATTTCATCCACCTCCTTCCAAGGAGGGTTCTGGACTCTTTCTCGTTCAACTATTGAACAATTGCACTTTAACCCTTGCACTGTTAATTAATACAATTATTCCCAAAATTAATCTAATTCATTTCTGATTAATTATTAATTAAATATTTCTATTTCTAATTAATATGTTATTTTCATAACATATTAATAAATTCATTTATTGCTATTTATTAATCATGTAATAAATCAATAAATCAGTCTCGCTCTCTCTCTCTCTCTCTCTCTCTAAAAGTCATCCTATTCAATTAGTAGGTTTGAGGGCAACCCAAAAGGACTTTGCTAATAATTCAAGATTATACTAACTCAGTTATTGGCTTAGACACCTAATCCAATCAACCATCGGGTTGGAATACCCCAGGCCCCTCAACCATCGGGTTGGAATGCCAACATACTATGGGTCCAATCAACCCTCAGGTTGGTATACCCCATGCCCCTCAACAATCGGGTTGGAAGGCCAACATATTATGGGTCCAATCAACCATCGGGTTGGAATATCCCAGGCCCCTTAACCATCTGGTTTGAATGACAACATACTATAGGTCCAATCAACCATCGGGTTGGAATACCCCAGGCCCTTTAACCATCGGGTTGGAATGCCAACATACTATGGGTCCAATCATCCATCGGGTTGGAATACCCCAGACCTATTGGCTTACGCACAAAGCAGAGAAACCTCAGCCACCAATCCTACATGTGCACATATAACAGATAATCATATAATAGTCTACAGCCAGTCAAACAGATCTAACAGACCACTAAGCATAGCATCATCCTATCTACCAGGATACCGATCTAAAAGATCATAACACCATAGCAATATGCATAACATGATATCAATCCAATGGGACGAATTTGGTGCCTTCAACCCGCAAGTATGGTGAGGAAGACTCATCTCTCAAGCATTACAGAACTGACAAGGTCTGACTCGTAATCTCAGCTCCCGACTCAAAAGCCTACAACCACTATTGTAACACTCTAAATTTTCAAATAAAATTTTCATTTTCTAAAACCACACAAAACACAGTGCCACATTTCTCAAACCCAAGTTTATGAGTTGTTCAAAACAAAGACAATAATAATGTTTGACAATATCCCAAAATCCTCAAAACATAAACTCTAGTTGGTGTGTACAATCATGTCGGCGCCTTCCCGCGATCATGAGATGTACCTGAAACACATTTCACACAACACTGTAAGCACAAAGCTTAGCGAGTTCCCCAAAATACCACACACAAATAATTAGCCTCTCATGGCTATATCTCGATAAGGACCCTCCGGTCATGTGTCTCAGTGAGGATCCTCCGGTCTCACAGCTCGGGTTGGACCCTCCAGTCCTGTATCTTAGTGAGGACCCTCCGGTCTTACAGCTCGGTTTGGACCCTCCGGTCCTAACTCAATAAGGCACAAAATAATATACAACATAAATTACAAATACAGAATGCATAATATATCACATAACTCAGTATAAGCACATAAGACCCTCCGGTCAATAACTCAGATAAGACCCTCCGGTCGTGCAATAATTACTACTCAGGTAAGTATAGTGAGAAGACTTACCTCGTAGGTAAACCAAGTATGTCTCGTACTCAACGGTCGGTCTAGGCTCCGCCTACATATATCATAATCATTTCTAATTAACATTTTATAACAACTACTCTAAAGGTGTTAAGCTAGCCCCCTTTACTAATTCTCGGAAAGGCTAAAAGACCATTTTACCCCTCCATGGTCTCCAAAGTCCACAACTTGACCAAACCTAAAAGTCAACGCTTAAGTCAACAACCCATGTTGACCCAACTCGTCGAGTGCATCTATGCGACTCGTCGAGTTTCTCCTGTTCTGAAACATCCCAAAAATATAGTCCATAAATTTCGCTTTTAAACCATTAATAAAACCATAAATATCTTCATCATATTACAGTCACATGTCAAAATATATCAGAGTATAAACATCCCAGGTTAAACAAATGGTGTGTGCACTGCAATCTTCCCGAGCTCCTCTTTTGAAAACCGAGTACCTGAAACCAAAACTGAAAACCGTAAACACGAAGCTTAGTGAATCTCCCCAATCTACCACATACCATACACATATAACATGCAACTAGGGGATACGGGCCCCGCCCACACTCATGGAGAAACGGGCCCTGCCCACACTCCGCTAACTAGGAGATACGGGCCCTGCCCACACTCTGCTATCTCTGAGATACGAGCCTCGCCCACACTCAACTAGTATGAGATACGAGCCCCGCCCACACTCGACTACTGTGAGATACGGGCCCCGCCCACACTCAACTGCTATGACAAAACATACAAGTATCACACATACAACATGTATAACTAATCTATCGTTCAGTCATATATCAGAATCAAGTACAGCTATGAGATACGGGCCCCGCCCACACTCATGTACTATGAGATACGGGCCCCGCCCACACTCACTAGTCATGAAAATACATACAAGCTCTAAACGAACAACAGATATCACTAGCATATAAATATGTACCATATCAGCTATCTATGAGATACGAGCCTCGCCCACACTCAGCTACTATGAGATACGGGCCCTGCCCACACTCGCATTCCTAACAACATATACAAGCATTACACAGACAACAAGTATAGCAATCCAATAATCTGACTGATATCTATACTCAGATAATAATGAGATACGGGCCCCGCCCACACTCAACTACTAACGCATCTCATGTACGGGCCGGCCTTGGTTCCTTAGACTCGTTCCTATTGGAAAAGGACTCACCTCACACTGCTGAAGTCCCGCCGACAAAACCCTAGCTGCTGGATGACAGATTCCCGAATTTGTCAACATCAAAATGACACCCAATTAATAATTGGGTTCCAACACATAACCATATGTACATACTTGGGGTAAATACTACTTTACCCCTAACTTAGCTTGAATCAAGCCCAAAGCCCAAACTAAAGGCCCAAAAGTCAACGATGGGTCAAAGCCCAATACATGGCCCACTTTTCCGAATTGGGCCCAACTCCTCATATGGGCCTTAACTCAAAGGCCATTAATTATTCTAGTCCATTTGTTTGATCTTGGATGGCCCATTAATAACCCAATCATCAAGGCCCGATAGAAAGGCCCAACAATAAACCCAAGTGGGATTAGGGTTTCATATAAAATGATGATTAGGGTTAAGTGTTTCTCACTAAACCCATTAAGGACTTAATCCATTAAGTCCATCACTCTTCTAAATAAATCATATGGTGTGATTGGGCTTTACACACAATTCCATTCCAGTGGCCCAAATGTGGGTCCCGATAGGTCCAAGCCCATAAATCCAATATTAGGGTTTTCTAAACCCTAATTAGGGTTTCGAACCACATCTTAGCCCAATAGGCCCACTAGCAAGCTCCTTTGACCAATTAGGGTTCATTAGGCCCATTATGATTTCACTAGGCCCATTAGGGCTTCTTTGGGCCCATCAGGGTTTCACTAGTCCCTTTGTCCAAACATCCAAATGAGTCACGATCCAACAACGCACACCGCCACCCGACACGGCGGCCGGTGGCAGCAGGAGGCGGCAGCCACCACTTCACGGTGGTGGTTTGATTTTTCCTTTCATTATTCCAATTTGTAATTTACACATTACAACGCTAAAACTAAAAATAAACACACACACTAAACAAAATAAACACACACAGGCGGCACATGGCGGCAGCCACCACCTCACGGTGGTGGCAGTGGCGGTCCTCGGCTTTCCGGCTTAACAAAAACACACACACAAACTTTAAGTTGCATACAACACTCCAGCTACCCACCTGGTGGCGTACGGTGGTGGCAGGACACAAGGAGGCAGCAAGAACGTCGACAACAGCGAATTTGAGATGGCAGCCACCATCGTGAGGTGGTGGCGGTGGTTTTTGTTGGTTCCTAGACAAGCAGCAACACACCCAAGATTTAGTTTGCAAAGCGCACCCAACCACCCACCTGGTGGCGTTTGGCAAGGGCAGCAGCAACTCAAGCGGCTCATCGGTGGCACCACGGTGGTTTGGGATGCAACAGGAGAATGGTGTGACAAATGGCCACCGGTGCGCAAGAAACAATTGCTCGGGACGGCAGCAACGATGCGACGTCGGAAAGAATTGGAGAAGGAGATTGGCGGTGCGAAACCCACCGAGCGAAGCAGCAGCAGCAGTGGCATAGAGACTTCGCGATCCTCGCCGGCGATTGGAGCGACGACAGCGTTGGAGGGTGGACAGGTCTCACCGATGGCAACGTCTTCAGCTAGGGGGCGACGACCATTTTGGCAACCACGGCTGACCAGAAGAAGAACATGGTGGCGGCCGGTGGGAAAGAGGATGACGGCTGCACTCCTTAGGGTTAGGGTTAGACGAGGTGGTCATGGCTATATACTCCTGTCTCATTCCAACTTTTGCCATAATGACGCTTATGGCCCCTCCTTTCAGCAATACTTACAAAGCTAACCCCTAATTTTACCCTTTCATCCCCCAGCATCAAAACCTATAACAATTCAGGTCTATCTTTTACCAAACAGCCCTTCACTTGAGAATCTTTTGCAAAATAAATCCAACAATTACCTTTTTATCCCCCAAAATCTTAACTATGGCATATTCAGCCCTTCCACCTCTTTTCCTTTCAAATTAAATCCATATTTAATCAAATAGCCCGTAGTCCTCAAAATCTTTTCAAGTTAAGTCCCCATAATTTACCAATTAGCCCCTACCTTCATAATGTTTACAAAACTAATCTGGGACTTACACTTTTAACCCTCAACTTCTAAAATTATGACAGTTAGCTCTGGGAGACCATCCTTTTATATATAGTTATTTATTTTAGGGCTACTATTCGTCCATTAATTTATTTATTTATTAAATAAATAAACGGGGTGTTACAACTCTCCCCCACTTAAATTAGATTTCGTCCTCGAAATCATTCCTTACCTTTCCTTATACGCTAACCACTCTAGTAATGAGGCCACAACTCCGAGCATAACCCCAACCTCCCCAAGGCATTCTAAATCATCCCTCGCAGGGTTCTAAAACCCGGAAACAAACGAACTCCTTGCAAAAAGATCTCATCTACTCCGTCTGGAATCTGTTGCCTCAGGATGGTCTGAATCCTTAATAGGCCACTCATACTGAATCATTATCATTGAATCCAGTCCGTTCATCCCTCAACTGACTACTCAGATTCTAATTGCTCGAGGTTCCCACTATAAAACAGGATCACAGGCCTAATTATCCCTACAGATCACTCATACTTGGCCAAGGTTCAGCTGATCCTGCTGTGAGTGACTTGTCACTTCCCAATCAACCAGCTATTCCATTTGTATATGAAACCTAAAACACCATTAGTAATACTGCCCCAAACACAGAAACTGTTCGAAGCACCGAACTGCCTGAAGCAGTATGCTGCTACATAGCTGCTTCCCAAAATTTATCGAGACCTTCTTGGTCTCAATTCATCCGTCAGTCATCTAAAGTACCGGGTTCCAGTCCGGTCGCTGAGCTGAAAGGGCTCCCACATAGTCGTCTCACACGACTTCTGAACGAAATCCTCCTCTAAAACTAGTTGCCACTAGTTATCAGGTCACTAAGGCTCTAATAACCTTTTGATCTAAATGATCGGGTCCATGCGTCAAATCCTGATGTCACCAAGTCCAAGGCTAAAAGTGATTTCTACATGACCAACGGTAGACTTATATCACAAACGACCATAAGCAATTCCTTGCTTCCTTGATCTCCTAACTGTAGTGGCATTCCTACAGTCTTGTCACTGGCTCAACCAGATCTAATCCGTCTAGGTAATTCTGAAATCCAATCCGTGGATTTCCATATCCTCACTGCTGCACCCGAACTGATGGGTACCACTGTTCCTTCCGCGTCCTAACAACGCGCTCATGCTATCTACCAACCAAGTGAATGCTACGGCTACAACCGTAGTCTTACAACACTCTATCACTATCTAACCGCTAGTGAATGCTACGGCTACACCCGCAGACTTACAACACTTTAATACAATCTGACTGCTAGTGAATGCTACTGCTACACCCACAGACTCACAACACTCTATCACTATTTGACTGCTAGTGAATGTTACAGCTACACCCGCAGAATTACAACACTCTATCACTATCTGACCGCTAGTGAATGCTACGGCTACACCCGCAGACTTACAACACTCTCATTCCTGTCGAACACGCACGCGACCTAACACTCAACTGAACTTCAGTCCTAACTGGAGCTCTAGCCTGGTTCCCAAAACCTGCTATCTGATGCCACGAAAAGCATGAACCAAACGTTGGAACGTTTTCTAAACTTCCAACCCACCCAATCCTCTACCTAGACGGCCACTCGACCGCCTTTCCCCCTGACCGGGGATGTGAAACTCATCCTAGTTTCACACCTATTTCTGCTCCTGGACACCTGATCGATTCTCCCCCATTTAGCTTCAAATAACATTCCACAACACACAATACTGAAAGGATCCCCAATCCTTCTTACCACCCATGACCAATCTGCTAGAAACCACGCTTACCATTGTTAGTGTTTCAATACCAGCTAATCCAAAAGATCACACAACTCCTAAGAATTCGTTGTATACTTCCCGAATCCACAATTAGGGAAATGACCCTTCGCTACCCACTCATGATTCTCGGTATGCAGTTGGCATATAACATCTCTTGGGGATATAATTCAAACATAGATAGTGGATAACCCTGAATTACACTTACTCAAACCCTTGGAACTAAAGGCTCTACCGTGCAGTTTCCCGCACGTGCTGTACCGAATCTGACCCTGCGGTCTCTCAAAAGTTGTTCCGAAATCTTGGGTCTCTTCCGGAGACCCCTCTATATAAGTAACTGATTTGATTCCCTCTTACCAATGTGCTCCAAGTCCCTATCCTGTTCCCGGGCTCTAGAAGTCATATCACTCAGGGTCTTGCACCCCTAGATACTCACGATCTTCCTGCTATCATTCTGCAGTAAGTCATGATACCTTACCTTCTTCGTTTCCTCGTTTTTTGCATACTGTGTAACCAACTGAACTCTCTCTCCCAAGACTTGGAAGTGATCTCTGCCATTGTCTCCATAGTCTAGCGGAGATCTAACAACTCTTGCGCCAACTGCTGCGCCTCAATTGCTTGGGCAAGCTCGGTCCGGGATCCGATCTAAAAGTCATCCCATGACATAGCATCGACCACCTCATTACTCAACTCACTACTATCCTTTTTCCCATCAATCACACGCCCTATCCTTCAGGAGGCAGGAAATAAGTCGGTCCTTGTCCCCTTTCGAGACTACAACTGGTACGATAATATTGGCGACATTTTTCAATCACGTGCTGCTAGCAATGGCCTAGCCCCATGATAATCTGGAGCTTCTCAAGCTCTGAACCTCCGAATCACCAACATACGCATGCCTATCTTCGCTGCTACCTCAATGCAGAATGAACTCATCCTCTAATCACGAATCTCTAAGATGCCCTCCTTGATCATACTGAAGATCACAGGAGTCTGGTTAATGATACTGTGCGTACTCTCGGATGGAATAATCTCCCTCGTCTGACCATCAAGCTGCCCGGCTCCAGAGTCCGAGCCTGATCCCTTGCCAACACCAGAACTGCCATCTGGTCTACCACGTAGCGTCACTATACTCGGTAATATACCATAACAGTCATCATAATACTCATCATAACTCGAGGGATCTCACACACTACAAGTTCCCTGGTTTCATCTCAGCTTTCGTTGATTCGAGTACGGATCCTCTGCTTTCAGTATTATGGGCCCATACTACCTTCCACATCTATCCGTACTTTCCTCAAGAACTGCCTTGACTCCACCAAGTCCCTTTTACTGCTACTGTTGTTCTCATGCTAATCTCATCCTATGCTTGCCCTAGGGAAAATCTCCGTCTCACCCCATCCTTAGCTGCTGAAGGACTTCCCATCAATGTCAACTAGCTACCTCATGAATATTACCACATGCAACAGAGATCATATAATCCTTCGAGTAAAAGACTCGTTCCTTGAACGGTTGGACTCAGACAAGAGTTGCGCAATAGGGCCAAGTCCATCACTCTGAGATTATCCAGCATGTGCCACATGTGACTTAGCATATTCAATTACTAGCTAACTCAGATTGCCATAAATCCCACAAATCACAAAGCAAGCAGCATTCAGACAATGGAAAACTAACCACATAACCCAATCAAACTATTATATCCTCTACTCAGAAATTTGTACTAGCATGCAATTCATAAAGCTAGGTTACACATAATAGGCACATAAGGCATCTTCCCTACATCCTTAGTCCTAACTAGCATGCAATTCTCATAAAGCTGACACATATCATACGCACATAAGGCATCCTTCCTAGATCCTTAGTCCTTATCTAGCATGTAGTTCTCATAAAGTTGGTACACGTATCATAACATAAACTTGTATGGGTAATTTGGGAGTACTTACTTGAGCTCGGTTGATTGCATGCACCACACCCTTTTATCTTTTTCAAAGTTCATTTCTCTTTTCAAAATTCTTTTCTTTTTTTCAAATTTCATTTTTATAAAAATGATTTTCTTTTGAAAATTTTCATACCAATCCCTTAGTTTGACTTCTTACACACTTTAGAGTGTGCCCGAATCCCTCAAACCTAAGCTCTAATACCAACTTGAAACATCCCAAAAATACAGTCCAAAAATTTCGTTTTTAAACCATTAATAAAACCATAAATATCTTCATCATATAAAATCATAAGTCATGTATCACAGTCACATGTCAAAATATATCAGAGTATAAACATCCCAAGTTAAATAAATGGTGTGTGCACTGCAATCTTCCTGAGCTCCTCTTTTGAAAACCGAGTACCTGAAACCAAAACTGAAAACTATAATCGCGAAGCTTAGTGAGTCTCCCCAATCTACCACATACCATACACATATAACATGCAACTAGGAGATACGGGCCCCGCCCACACTCATGGAGATACGGGCCCCACCTACACTCCGCTAACAAGGAAATATGGGCCCCGCCCACACTCCGCTAACTAGGAGATACGGGCCCCGCCCACACTCCGCTATCTCTGAGATACAGGCCTCACCCACACTCAGCTACTATGAGATACGGGCCCCGCCCACACTCGACTATTGTGAGATACGGGCCCCGCCCACACTCAACTGTTATCCCAAAACATACAAGTATCACACAGACAACATGTATAACTAATCTATCGTTCAGTCATATATCATAATCAAGTACAACTATGTGATACGGGCCCCGCCCATACTCGACTAATAAGAGATACGAGCCCCACCCACACTCAGCTACTATGAGATACGGGGCCCGCCCACACTCACTAGTCATGAAAATACATACAAGCTCTAAACAAACAACAAATATCACTAGCATATAAATATGTACCATATAAGCTATCTATGAGATACGGGCCTCGCCCACACTCAGCAACT